TGGTCATCTGTGTAGATATTTTAGGCACAACCTAAAATATGCTCATTTTTGCTGGGTAATTTTAAATATATTTGAGCAAGATAAGCAACTCATCTCTGCTATAAATGAAAATGTAAACTTTGTTTTGAACACTTAGCATTTCTGAACAATTCAGCCAAAAGTGACCAAGTCCATAAGTGGCATTATTCAAAATAGAGAGTGGGGCTTGTCACATTCGCAAGGAAACTCTGGTAAAACACAAACAAATTATTACAGTTCTACGTTTTTTGAACTAGACAAGCTTTCCAACCTGAATACTCAAACATATATACAAAATTGTAATAATTATGATTGGTGAAAATGTTTTTAAAAATTGCTGGCAAATTTGTTTGTTGCCACAAATATCATAACAGAAAATATCAACACCATAAAAGTTAAATAGATTTTATTTTTGCGATATCTATTGCATGTTTTTGATTAATGTGCAAATTAAAAGTGCCAACAAAATTACTGTTGTGACTATATATGGGGTGATGTGGATATCTCTGATTGTTTTTTTGGGTAGTTTAGTGTTAAAACTAACCCCGCCATGTGGAGTGCATTAGCCTGGTTAACTCTGACTATGGCAAGTGGGGGACAAAAATAAGACAGGACTCAAAGACAGGAGCTTGACTTGAACACATTTGGAGAATTTTGGCATTTAGGAATCTAAAAAAGCAAAATATACATTCTGAGGTATCCAAATTTCTGAGACCATTTTTAGTCTCCATAAACATTAGTTTGATTCGACATGAAATCTCATGAGCAGCAAAAAAGGTTTGTGAGGTCCGGCGGGATCATTTCTCAAAGACATTTTAGTGTTTTGACGTGGAAATTCTGGGTTTTTCTGTTTTCTTCTGTCTCTTACCATACCACGGTCAAAAGTTCAATGTGTATGATTTTTGGCATACTTCTTCGGAAACCTCATATCTATTATGAATAGATGGCACTTAGCTCATGATTCATGTTTCTGGCTTCAAAATGGCCAAATGTGCTTGGACCCTGATGATTGCTATTTGCGATGTAATCCGTGGACGGTGGATAAGTTCTCATAAAGGTTATGATAGTACACAGAAACAAAACAAAATCAATTTCTGACAAAAGCAAGAGGGGTGGCTGATTGTCTTTGTTGCAACAATATTAAATAAACATATTAACAATTTTTGCCAACTGTTATTGAAGAAAGATATCAGAATATGCAAAAATGAAACCATCATCACTGCTTTTGAAACATGACTGTGAGCTGCTGCTGAGGAATTTTCTCTGAATTGATGAATTGTTTCCTGTCTGCAGGAATCCTCCTATTCTCTTCCAAAAATGAAAAACTCAAACTCAAATGTACACGATTCACCCGAATCGGATATTCATCACTCAAAACGGCTAATTTCGCCAAAAGGTGACAAGTTTGCAAATATATTTGATATTCCTTATCTTCAGTGTATTGCAATGCATTTTCACATTCATTTAAGTACTTCAAAAGAGATGGAAACCTTTTCCACCACTGTAGGCAATTAAGTTCTTGTTTATTTGTCTGAACAACTTTTAACATAATTAACACACCAAAAAAAGAACACTGATGCATTTGGAACTGTTTATTTACGGGGATATCCTGAGCGTGGGCAAGTATAAAAATGTCATTTTTTGGGGGGGGACAAGAACTAACTTCTCTCGTCATCTCCATGGTGTACAGTGAAACAACAAACCAACATTGCACAGCTCACAGCACTGCCCTCAGAATCTCGCTGTTTTTCTTCATTATTTTATCTAAATACATTACATTCATTCCTTACAAAATACATTCAGACCGAAACTCTGTATTAGTTCTGCAACCACTCAAGTTTGGAGCCTGTGTCAAAAATATAGAAGTAAAACTTCTCATTTTTCTGTTGCAACTTACAAATACAGTACTAAATGAGATACAAAAATATATGTGTGTGTATATATATACATATATACAAATATATGTATATATACATACACGGGTAGTTAATTACCTTCTTCACTGTTAGCAATGTTTGGGTTTTTAAAGCAGGACTAGAACTGAAATGTGTCTAGCATCGTACCTCTTACTTAGGAATCCTTCAAACTTCACAGGTGACAAATTTTAAACATTCACTTTCTCTTTCAGTACCTCTTGAATTATTGTGAGGAACAAGTGGCAACCTAATGTATGTCAATGTATGAAACAAAACAAGATGTCATAGGGGTTAATGTACATACAATACAAACAGACTGGCGAATGTAAACTGAGAGCAGTTACTGTTGTAAATGAAATAAATTATTGTTTAATATTCAAGTTTAGAGTATGCAGACACATACAAGGTGGACGAGTGTGAGCTGTCACACGTACACATTCATAAACTAGTCTGATGAGTATAGAGTTTGGATTACTCAGTAAAACACTAAGGGTTTCTCACTGAATAAACTAAAGGTTAGACATTTTATAGCAGATAAGACCGATGGAGACAAACCAGAGGTCTGGAAGCCTGAACCCAATCTGTACCCATGGCTTTGAGTCGTTCAGCTCAGGCCAACAGAAAGCAACTGTGACACGTGCTAAGAGACCAAAAAGGTTTAGTACAAAGAAGAAGAAAAACTTACAGGGTGTTCAGTGCAGACATAAACCAACCAGCCCCTTTATTCACTTCAAGTACACCTCTTTGTTTTTACACTCTTTGTCCACAATGGATAAGGAGTGTAGGTACAGGAAGGTGTACTTAATAAAGTGGCTGGTTGGTGTATTTGTTTGAGAACTGACAAAATAGGCATGTGGACCAATTTAAAGTGAACCAATCACATTAATCGAACCAGTGGAATCATTTAGTCACTCAAGGTTGAAACAGCAGCTGTTCTTGTCTATTAAGAAGAATGTTATTGCAAAGAAGTGCCTTCAGATGAGCTAATGCTAACACTAATTCCCCCATTTCTTAGTCTAATAATTCTGTCTAATTTGCTGCCACTGCTGTCGTCACTGCAGGTGTGTTTTGAGGAAGGAATAATGGAAAGGTTCACAAACTCTTCAAATGCAACATAGAAAATGACTCAATAGAAAACAAACGTGAGCTTGGCCCAAACTTGATGCTGTACGTGAAAAATCGGCCTGAAAACTGGTAGTTTTTTCCAGACTCTGTTGGGTTCAGGTTGGGTAGCAGACCTCTAACACACACACACACACACATTTTTAAAGCGTCACAGATTAAAATCAGGAGACAAGCCCTAAAAACAGGCCATTATTTAGCTTCTTTTCCACTTAAGAACTTTGGCTATGTTCAGACTACCAGTCCAGATCAGATTTTTGGCATATCCAGATTGTACCAAGATTGATTTTTGATAGTCTGGACAGCTAAAAAACACATGAATTTTGCAAATCAGATCCGTAGACATTTGGAGGTGGTTTGAAATGTGATTCCAAATGGATTTTTACAGTCTGTTTTTCTCAGTCTGGATGTTCTGGCTGCATAAATCGGATTTTCAAAGTGTTTTTTTGCGTCACTTGCAACGTAACAATGACAATGTCAAATCCAGAGTGACGGAAGTGCTGGGATTCAAGAAGAGTGCCAAAGATTCATGCTTATGCCAGTGAAACTGAAAAGTTTGTAGGCCGAGATGATGCACCTCTATCTCTCCTGCATCTGCGCTTGAAATCCACGTCACCAGCGTAGCTACGTAGCTACTGGCGCCTATGTCGTTATCACAGCAACCCATGCAGACAGTCCGGTGATGCTTGTACAGTCGTCTCAAAAGATCTGATTTGAGAAACAAATCTGATTTGCCTGCAGTCTGAACACAGCCTTAGAGAGATTAAAAGAACACCGCAGTGTAAAATGACTGCACTCCATGAGTGCTATTCTAGAAATCTCTGGCTAGCAATCCGAAGCAGCCAGAGATCACTAGATTGTGTAGTGTACTTGCAACATTTCTAGTATTGCTCTTCCTAAAGTCAGTCTTTGCACTCAAAACAACCATTTCACTCATAGGCAGCCACCACAAGAACTTCTCTGAATCTGGATTTCAACGGCATTGAAAAGAAACCATGGGACTGCCATTATCAGCTGTGCCAGACGAGATGCATGGAACACAGCAATGCAAAGTGCTTCTCCACCGTAGCACTGCTGAAGTAACGTTGCTAAAATGAATGCTAGAACCAATAACCAAAGGTTTACATTACCAGAGATGACTGTGTTGAGAAAAAACTCAAATGGCTTTCGAGAGGGGAAAGCAAATTGGATACAGCATATATAATAATATTGTATAACATAAAATAAAGTAGATGTCAGTAATCTCCAAATGACAGTTTAGACAGTTTAGACAGTTCATAATAACATGATTTTCCAGTGGCCTGAAACAGTGATTATCATGGCTTTAGCTAGCCCACAGTGTCTTGTCCACATGTCCAGGTGCGTCTGCAGTCTCTGGTGGTTTGTGTGGGAATGGAGCTTCTTTACTGACCTTTTGGTTTAAATTTCCACAGTTACTGAGTGACTGATGGACTGGAAAGAGATGGTGACTTGACTTCATATTCTCTGAGGTGTTTTGCAATGCTCTCAAAGGTCAAGCACAGTACATCCTCTTATCTGTTCGCGTCCACTGTCACCTAAGAATGTGCCTGTAAAACTGTTCGTTGGAAAAAAAGTTGCAAGTTGAAACACAATGTGGGGTTGAGCTCTATGGCATCAGCAGCATTCGTATTATAAAGCTTCTTATAATTTCTTATACAGAATATAAACTCTTATTCAACTATTCTTTCTTTGCTCCCACCATAAAAACATACAGCTATTAGTCATCGCATATTTCTTTGCAGTTTAAAACATGAGAAAGTCAGCCTCTCACTTTTTACAGTGCAGACGGGGTGTAAAAGCCGGGCAAAAACAGCTATCTAACTTCTTCTAGCACTGTGGATGGTTAAAATAATATATGCAATTAGACAAATTTAGACAAATAATACAACAACTAATGTGATTAGATCAGTCATTGTGGTAGGTCTTGGTGAACATGATCAGATTACATGCATCTGAAGTTAAGGGGGAAGACAGATGGTTTGCATTATGGGCTCATTAGTGTTGATTTGCACTATTCCAGGAAAGGTCTGCAGAACTTCAATGTGCTCCAAGTAGAGCACTGAAGTCTTTTTGTTTATCTGGAATTGTTTTTTTTTCTCTTTTTTTCTGAAATCTGTCACACTGGGGCAAACCTAAATCTAGATCTTTATGAAAGACAACCCTACATTTCTCTCTGAAATGTTCTGGCTTTAGGAGAAATAAGAACGGAATTATGGCTAAATACTATAAAGTCCTATTTGAGCTTGATTAGTTCCACTTCGGTTGTTTCTGTAAGTGTGAATCTGCAGTGTGTGTAATTTTGTAGGTCTAACAGTAAGAACTATGGATTCATTTTAATCTAGTTGAATCTGCAATATGTATACGTCTTGCACTCTGAACAGCAATAATTGTGGAGTAAAATTAATCCAGTATGAATCTGCAGTGTCTGTAGTTTTAACAGGCTGACAGTTATAAGTGTGGAATGATTTTAATCCAGTATGAATCTGCAGTGTCTTTAGTTTTACAGTCTGACAGTAATCATTTTTTAGTGACTTTAATCCAGTATGAATCTGCAGTGTCTGTAACTTTTGCAGTCTGATAATAATAAATATGGAGTGATTTTAATCCAGAATGAATCTGCAGTGTGTGCAGTTTTACAGTCTGCCAGTAATAGTTGTGAACTGATTTTAATCCAGTATGAATCTGTGTAGTACTAGGGAAACTGCATGATACTTTATCTTATACCAGTCAAATCCCACATTACAGAACGTCCTCTGGTAAAACTAATCCAGCTCAAATAGTGCTTAATCATAATACATGTGGGTAAAAATGAGATTGTTTTCTGCCCAGCATAAAGTGAATGATTCAGCATTGAGATGGGCACATGTGCTTGCTCTTAAGGTTTTTAACACACACTCAAACATACACACTCAAACACACACACAAACACACACACACACACACACACACACTCAGAAGCTAACACACTGAAAGTGCTTCACTTCCTATCCCCATGTTGACTGAAGATATCCAAGTTGCACACGATTGTCTTCCTTTAGTCACATGTGTCTATTAAGGACCTTTCATTCTTGTGTCTCTGTGTATAAAAGCTCTGACGAGGAACCAAAAAGCTGAAGAAGAGAAAGCAAAGGAAGTCTGAAAACGAGAAGCGCTGGTTTTGTTTTTTTCTTCAAGGGTAGGTCCTCTTTTTTGTCAAAAGGACATAAGAAAAACCAGAGAACTGATTCAGGGCATTTCATCAAGTCATCTACTAAAAACTAAAACGACAGAGACGAGCAAAACGTGCGAAAAGTGTGAAAGATCATATCGTCTGTACTCTGAGAAGCGCTGGTAGTTAGAAAAAATGCCTAAACACATTTCCTGTGTTAAATTGGATACAACACTGGCTGTGTTTAAATGTGTTTTCTTTAAGTGGACACGCAGACAGAACATGCTACGTGCTGTTTTTAAAACTTCTATGGATGTTTCACACATTTCACACAAGGTTGCTCAATTAGCCAGACAACGTAAACCAAAAACTGTGCTGGTCTAATAAGAGAAGAGCTAAGGGACCTTTCTGTTGAACAGTCCTCACTTTGGGCTTAAGGGCTTCCAGCTTACGGAGAAAATCCTTCTTTGTGAAATACCTGGTTTGAGAGTGAAAGCTAAAGTGATAGGGATGAGCCGAACATGAGAAAAGCAAGAGATGGTATCATCTAGGCCTGTAATCTTCTGGGACCCCGGCCAGTTTCCTCCGCTTGAGCGTGGCATCCACGGTCCGTATGAGGCCATCGATGCTGGCCCGCATTTCAGGGGTGTATGGATCATACTCCAGCTTCCGGAGGCCTGAACGCTTGAAGTTGCCATCCTTCTGGCCCACCACACACAGCAACCGGTCCTCAGACACCTCCAGGCCCAGGAACAGCACCATGCCCTTCAGCTTTGAGAACAGATCCTGCTTCAGGTCCTCAAAGTGCACAACGTGCACGTTCTTACCATATTTTAGCCAGTCCAGCGTGTGTGATGCCCACCACGGTGCGTAGTTCTTCACAAACTCCGGCCACTCTGGAGGATTGAAGGCAAGGAAGAAGAAAAAGAGAGAGTGCACGTTTAGTTTAGTGTTTATTTAGCTTAAGCTTGAGCTCTTTGGGTTAATTTCAGTAAAACAGTGCACTGCTGGGACCAGTCTTATCTCATGTATCTCTTCCAAGGGTTATTTACCTTTTTTAACTAGAGTGCATCAATGAAAACAGATGATACTCAGCCTATAACAGGTCAGGTCAGATCACACAAGCTTTATTCTTTAACCTTACTGCTCTGTCATTAGCGTAGTAGTGGTTTATTCACAGTTTAACCCTTTATCACAGTAGCCATTAAATGGAGGTTCTTGCATTCAGCTATGCATTATTCAACTGAAGGAATATACAGTACGGCCAAAAGTATGTGGACACATCCTAATTATTGAGTTCAGGTGTTTGAGCCACACCCATTGCTACCAGGTGTATAAAATCAAGCACATAGCCATCAGATGTGACACTGTCTTAGGATGCCACCTTTGCTACAACCCAGTTTATGAAATTTCTGCCTTGCTAAATCTACCCCAGTCAACTGTAAGCACTATTATTGTGAAATGGGAGCATCTTGTTCCAACAGTTTGCAGGGAAGTCTTTCCTGTTCTAGCAGGACCCCTTTGCACAAACTGAGGTTTGACCAGTTTGGTGTGGAGGAACTCCAGTGGCCTGCACAGAGCCCTGAGCTCAACCCCACTGAACAACTTTGGGGTGAATTAGAACATTGACTGTGATCCAGGCCTTCTTGTCCAACATCACTGCCTGACCTCACCAATGCTCTTTTTAATGGTAATGGGCACAAATTCCCCAAAAATACTCAAATCTACTCAAGCTGTTATTGGTACATCTACATTCTATATGAATGTCCATGGTTTTGAACTGGCCTGTTTTGGTTTTGAACTGGCCTTTTTTTTCTCATAGCAAGTAGAAAAACAATCAATCTTGTCAACAATAACCCTGTATTATTGCCCAGCATATCAAAGTGATTGTTATTTTAACCGTCTACCACAGCCTACTGAACTATGAGGTCATACATATTTTCAGCTTCAGTATGCTATGACACTTAATAATAACTTTGTTGACATCCTTGTGATGTCATTTGCTGTTTATTTGGAAGGGACAATATAGCGTTCATCATTACCTAATCCTATCTACTAATACTATTTCCCATAAAAGCTTGGTGCTGCTATAGTTCTAATGCTAAGCTGTGTAAGGCTGTTATGTATTAGTCTGAGGTAAACAGTCCACTGGCATAGCATAGAAGGCAGAAGGAGGTCGAATTCTAACATTAGGGGTAGAGATATGGAGACCCTTTCTGTCATAAGCAATACACAGCACCACTACAACAAACAGAGGTTTTATTAAAAGTATTTTTTATTGTGGAGGTTGTACACAGGAGGTTTGAGTTATTTTCACCCCTTACCCTCCCCCCTTATTGTTCGCTAGCAGCTCAACACACAGTCATATTTCACACGTGGTTAGGTAGAATTATTGAATTTGTGCTATAAGTTTCTCCAGCCTGACTGACAAACTAGTCAAATTGCGAATTAAAAAGAAGAAATCGTAATAAAGAATGCAATGGTTAACACTTCCTTAATAGCTGAGTGATACACATTCACATAAGTGTATTTTAAGTAAAATCTGCTATCTTTAATAAAACTTGTCCAAAGCCAGCAAAACATTGCGTTGGAAGGTATATAGGCCAGTGTACTGAAAATCTAAATATGTAAGCTGAAGATGTGTTTTAATTACAACAGTCTTGCATTAAACCTCAGCTAAACCACTAGCAGGTTTAAGATAAAACTCAGACACAGAGACATCTGGTGGCAGCTGGGTTTAGCTTCGAACGCTGGTACACTTCAACACTAGAAAGGCAAAGATGTCATAGTTTCAACAGAATAAAACTTCTATATATGCTGTGTCCTGATTTTTATGAAATTTCACTAAAATATTTTAGACTAACATTGTTCTCAGATTAATACTAAAGAGCACAAAAATGTTCTGAGTACTTCTACCTTGTAAGGTCACTGGAAGTCATTTTGACCCCTATACATTACACTACATTTTGTCTGCGTGGGCTCTTTTTATGCTATTTTATGCTATATTATCATTTTAACAGTGATTACTGAGTAGCCTGCTTGTCTCATCTGATTTACCTCTGAAAATATCTGGAAAGTATCAGCAAAGGACAATTGAGAATGCAATAAAACAGTAAGAATACAATGCAATATACCAGAAAATATATGCTACAGCATACAAATCCATCATTATAAAGCTTTAGTTGGCAGCAACTTCATGGTGAATGGTGTGCTATATATGGAAAACACTACACTTGAGCACCAACTAGAAGAGAGTGATGTGGTGAAGATGGCTAAGCCCAATCTGAGAAACATCACTTTTTAGTTAAAACATCATTGAACATGCTGTTGCATTCGTGGTATTACATGGTCTAGCTTCTAGCCACATCTTTTACAGGGTTTAGTGGCAAGAATGAGTGATAGAGGGCACTCTTGGCATGTGCCACCTGAAAGAGGGAAGTGGGGGGAAATAATATCACTGGTGCACATTGAGGCCATAGGAGAAGTGTAGAAATGCTCTTTTCACCAAAGCCAAATTTATGTCAGAGGTAAAAGCGATAAGACCACTCAGTTGGTCAACTGTAGCTTCCAAGGACACAGTAACTGACTCATGTGACTCCTTCAGGTTTAAACTTGTCTAAAACTTTACACCACAGCCGAGCTAATGACAGCACCATGTCCTCTAGAGTTATTATTTTTATTTGGTGACACTTTATTTCGAGTGGTCCTTTTTAAATGAAACAAACACTCAATGGACTCTCAGTAACATGTCAGAAACATACAAGGGTTATGGTTAGGTTTTGGGTTGAGGTTAAGGTTAGGGTTAGGATTAAGGCCAGGTTTAGGATTAAGGCCAGAGTTAGGATTAGGTTTTGGTAAGGTTGGGTAAGGTTAGATTTTGGGTAAGGATGGGTAAAGGTAAGTTTTGGTAAGGTTGGGTTAAGGTTAGGTTTTGGTAAGGTTAGGTTTGGGGTAAGGTTGGGTAAGGTTAGGTTTTGGTAAGGTTGGGTAAAGTTAGGTTTTGGGTAAGGCTGGATAAAGTTAGGTTTTGGTAAGGTTAGGTAAGGTTAGGTTTTGGTAAGGTTGGGTAAGGTTAGGTTATGGTAAGGTTGGGTAAGGTTAGGTTTTGTTAAGTTTGGGTAAAGTTAGGTTTTGGTAAGGTTGGGTAAGGTTAGGTTTTGTTAAGGTTGGGTAAGGCTAGGTTTTGTTAAGTTTGGGTAAAGTTAGGTTTTGGTAAGGTTGGGTAAGGTTAGGTTTTGGTAAGGTTGGGTAAAGTTAGGTTTTGGTAAGGTTGGGTAAGGTTAGGTTTTGGTAAGGTTGGGTAAGGTTAGGTTTTGGTAAAGTTGGGTAAAGTTAGGTTTTGGTAAGGATGGGTAAGGTTAGGTTTTGGTAAGGTTGGGTAAGGTTAGGTTTTGGTAAAGTTGGGTAAAGTTAGGTTTTGGTAAGACAAACAAAAAATCCATTGAAAGTGTGGACTTAACTTTTCAGTCAACACCACATTTATGTTTAACAATAGAAAAGAAGATATTTTATTACGATTATGAATTTGATGAAAAGTTATTTTTTGTCGTGAAGAAAAGCATGTAAATTGAATGTAAATGCAAATGAGTTCCAAAGAATGAAAGGTGCGGTTTAATATGAACTTTCACTCTGTCTGATCACAGAATAGAGTTTTGTAATCCCAGTTCAATCACATTTCCATCTTATTTTTCTGATCAGTGAAATAAGATCCCCACAGTGTCTAATTAAATTTCTCCACCATAATTGCCTTTAATTGTGTGAACTCATGAACATGCTACCCCAGCACGAACACAGCTGAAAGTTCAATTTGAGCAGAGGGAGCCAGTCAGACCCTGAAATGAGGTGACCTCATGCATAAAGTTGAGAAGTGAAGAAGAGTAGGGGTTCAGCTGTGGTGACTGAATGTCTGCTCTGATGAGAATATCACTAAAGCAGTGCTGCTTTGAATCGAATGTTATTTGAACAGCCCATATCATGGAAAATGGAAATTTTCTCACTTTTTTTAAATAAAAGTGTGATATAATATATGAAAAAATGATGTAATCTGTTAAAATAGTTAAAATTCTATATTGTTCACCAAACATTCATTTAACACCAAATGTATTATTTAAAATCATTTTTCAAATATTCATGTGTTACTATGGCTGAGAAAACTACTGCTAGCTGCTTTTACAGCCACTAAGCCTTGGGAAGATATATTTGGGCCCTACAATTACTGGATATCATCTCAATGGACCTTTCAACAGTTCATATTCATGGGGCCAGGACAGTGGAGAGGTGAAATACTTCCTAAAATACAATTATTTATCTCTCACTACAGAACATTTATTGGTTATACACCGACCAGCCACTTCATTAAGTACATCTCCTGTATCTACATGCATTGTCCATTTTATCAGCTCTACTTAACAAAAGATGCACTTTATAGTTCTACAATTACAGACTGTAGTCCATCTGTTTCTCTGCATACTTTGTAAATCCCCTTTTACCCTGTTCTACAATGGTCAGGACCCCTAGAAGACCACCACATGGCAGGTATTATTTGAGCGGTTGATCATTCTTAGCACTGCAGTGAAGCTGATCAGGTGGAGGTGTGTTAGGGTGTGTTGTGCTGATTCAAGTGAATCAGACACAGCAGTGCTGCTGGAGTGTCCACTCACTGTCCACACTATTAAACACTCCAACCAGATGGACTACAGTCTGTAAAAAAGCTGATAAAATGCACAATGACTGTAGATAATTAATTTTTTTTTTACTGTTTTTTTTTAATTTTATGAAGTGAAATTATCTCACTACATTTACTGATAGTTCTGCTTGTTTCATGCATGTTTTTTAAATATCTGCCAATAAAGTGAGATAATTGAAGTTTTTTTACTTTTATTTTTTACTTTACTTT